AAATACAGAGATTTCCGGCTCATGATTTTGAACCTGCTCTAGAGGTTTTCCCACACTTGAGAAAAAGGCTTCTCCTAAATCAATGTCAAGAGCCTTATTCTGGATTCCCGTGCTTCATTTCTGTAGATGGCAGAGCTCCCCGATATACAGAAGTTTTTTCAAGCTGCAAGGTTGAGACTGGTCACACGCAAGCTTCTCCCGTTTTTCTAAAGCGTTCGTTTCCTTACAGTACCACAACAAAGGGAGTCGGGTGAGAGAGTGAAAAGCCCAGCTTTCACCGACGAATTGCCTCGCAAAAGCCTGAAGTAGGTAGACAACACCAGACGCAGTCAATCTGAAAATAGCTGTTGCTTAGGAACTGGAGGGGTAAAATGCAGCACCTCAGAAATATAATTGAGAGCTTTTATATTAAAAAACACTGGACATCTGTGTTTCTCTCCCGATTAGCATCCTTTTATAATGTTGAAGGAATGGTTGCTTGATTCCACTTGCTCCTGGAGCTACGCCTACATCTTCAGCAAGCCAAACAAGTCTTGACGACAGAGCAACAAATAACTCCCACACACTCAAGGTCCCTCCTAAAAACGTGTGCACAAAGCGTGCCATGTGTCCCACCTAAAATTTCTTAGAAGTATCAAGCATTATGTTTTCCTACAGCTATTAAAATACAGTTTGTGTATTTTTTCTGCAGAGAGATAATATGACAAGGATGAATTCTGCTAGTCACATTTTCTTGTAGCGTGTACAGATAAGAGAAATGGCTTTGACATTTTCTCCTCACATCAGTGAGATGCTGCGGTTTTAAAGACTGCGTGTGTGTATTTGAGAGAAAGAGTTTTCTTTAGGTGGGTTAAACATTTCTAAACGTTTAGAAATATCCTTAACTTGGAACTCAATTTCAAAGTTCTGTGATTAATCGTAATCTGTATTAATTTTAAAAACTAAGTAAGGAACATAACAAAGTTCACTTTGCACTTTCTGCATGATTTCAAATCCAGAGAGTAAGTTCTCTGCATGAAGCATTTACAGCAGGGAGTGTTATCAAAAAAAAAGGGGGGGGGGGTGGGAGTAGTAGGTAGCGAGGAATTCATTGCTCTTTGTAAGGCAACCTATAATTCACTCTAATTACGGCAGTCTTAATAGTAGGATTATTCTAAAAGAAAAGGAATCCTATGACATATACATATGCATACATATGTGTGTAATCTATAAAAAAGTGAGTGTGGTGTTGGTGTGGAAGTCAGGAGCAAGTTAAATATTGTAAAGACAGCTTTTTTCTTATCCCATTTACATTCGATTGTATCACAGATGCTTATCAGGAGACAAACTCCTGCAAACAGAAATTCCCATAAGCCTCAGTGTATTTCATTTGACATCCATCATTACCTGTAACTATAGCATTTTGCATTAAACTCCCACATGCAGAAAAGGAATGTATTCCAAGTGGGCCATTAAGAAGAATGACATGCACTGTAGTAGTTTCCTCTTGTGTTTCAACACATACCAGAAAAAACCTACTTGCTCTTAAGAAAAGAAAAAAAAAAAAAAAGGCTTAACAGAATTAGTTTTCTTTAATGAGTCTTGGTAGAACAATTTTACAAGTTTATATGTGGATTTTAGTTTTATATTATGGCAAAACATTGGTTCCATTTCCTTTCTCATAAGTTACACTACAAACACTCAGACATGCAAGTGGCTTCTTCAGATCTATCTTCTCACTTTCTTCATTTTACTCCATAAGAATATAAGATCATGGAAGACTAATAGATCGCCTTATAATAATGTAAACCTGAACTCCTTCCTCCCCTCTCGCTGCTTGCCAAAGCAGCGCAGACTACCACTGGCCAGCAGAAACCTTTCCTCCCAAGTCCAGTATTTCCCTGCTGCAGGAAAGCCTTGCACACCTAGGGAAGCACCATAAGCAACCCTGGCAGATCCTAAAGGCAAATCTTTAAACACCTGATGCACTGAATTTGAAGCAAAAATCTTTTTAACAGATTACTCATCTGAATTTTTAAGAAATCCATTGTTTAACAAAGTGTACATTTATTAAGGATGCAAATTGACAACACTGCAACTAAATCACTCAGGGATAAAACAGGTCTTTTATATTACACACAAAACCAGAAAGTTTCTAATTTCGCCTAACCTTTCAAGCAACTACTTAAATCAGGTTTAAGACCACTTCTATCAAAGACAGTTTTCAGAGACATATGAAAGACAGTCTGAGGATAGAGTGGAATAACTGAGGTTTATTTTCTTCCTCCAAACAAAGGTTTTCTTCCTTGCTTCTTGTGACTGGGCACTAGGATACCATATGGTAATCAGAGAGTTTGGATCATTTTCTTTTCCCACTCTATTTAAGATCCTTTAACATTTCTGTGTTACAACACCTTGATTCTTGGTTTTATAATGATTAGCTTTCTAGATGGTTTGCAGAACACACAGCAGAAATGAAATGAAATAAAATAAACATCATAGGATGAAATTGACTAAAACGATGCACCTCTTTTTAGATGGATTTAGAAGGAAACACCTCACTGCCTTGTGAAGGTAACCTTAGGCAGGCCGATTTAATCCTGTTTTGAAGGAATGTGCTCTTGGGGGTGAAGTATTTTTGCTTATTTTGTTAAAAAGATTAAAGACATTCTGCCTAAAAAAAAACAATAATCAGTTTTCTACATGAAAAACTGATACAGAATTTTCTAGACTAATGTTTTTAATGAATCAACAATATCCTTCAGGAAAGGTTCAAACAAGGCTGAATTGCAGAGAATACCACCGGACTTCTATCCCTCCCCTCTTTTAGTTTAATATGAAATGCTGGTGAATTATCTAAAACAACACACAGGGAAGACACAAAACCATTCTCAGAAAGAGAAATCTTTAAAGTTTATATAGTTACCTTCTCACAATTATCTCAGCCTCTACTGAAACCCAGAGAACTTCATCTACATATTTAGCAACCAGTTATCTCATTTTGCCAAAGTACAACCTTCCCTAACAGTACCCTACAAATGGCTTTACTTGCACTTCGTATAGATGGGCATTTGCAGCAACTAAGTTAATGCCCTGGAGACCTCCTTCTTTGAAATTTGGCTGTGCCAGGCAAGCCCTCCTTATTCTCAGGAAGGGGTGAAAGAGAGAAACCAGGCAATATATTAATTTCTCTGGAATGCTCCTTGGAAGAAACCATGGCCTCATGAGAAAAAATAATTAAAAAATTCTTTGGCAACTATTTCATCCTGTGAGCTCACTTTTTCAGAAAACTCAAAGGGGATCTATTAAACAGCCCAAGTCCAATTTCCTGCAGCAAAATACATTTTTGATAGTCAACTTGATCCATCTTACCTTTTAATTTAAAATCTATTTAGACCAGACTTATTCTTCTTACCTTCCACTAAAATCCCTTTCTCTAACATTTCTTATTGGCTAGTTGTAAATCTTCAAGCGTCTAGCCAAAAACAAGAAAAATCCTTCAAGCATGGAGGCACATAGCCAACAGGATTGTATCAGGCATGAGGATTCAGACAGGACTTAGTTGTTTGTCTCTGATGCAACACCAGCACAGACTTCATATGCACCCCAGTCACCAGTCTCTTAATATTTTGCTGCCACAGGCAAAGCATTAGGACTCTAAGACATGGTTCAGAGCACACAAAAGACTACCCGTATTTTCAGATGCATACAAAAATTGGATGAAGATTTGTAACAATGCTAGAAATGTTTAAGAAGTCTAAGTCACCTCAAGAGTCCTTCAAGTGACTGCCTTGCTCTCAACAGTAGAGTCCAATTTATCTTTCACTCTTTAGACCAGAAGAACACAACATCAGATGAGGCAGGAGACATTACGTACTGAACTGGTCTCACCTTACTGGATAGGCTTTCCCTGATTTCTGAAATGCCTCAGTTTCCACTGAAAACTAGCTTACTTTCTGTTTTATCTTTTTGAAATGACAGACTGTCACCTGAAAAAAACAGACCTACAACCCATCTTAAACTGTTTAATGAAATACTGCATTTCCTGCAATTTCAACATGGTTTTGAAAATAAGATGCAAGACAAAAGCTTAGAAAGCTAAAAAAGAAATGTAGAATTCTGCCACAAGCGCAAAAATTTCAAAACTTAGTAAATGAATTTTGCACTCAAACTAGTAAATCTTGTCTATTAAAATAAGTAGCAGCTTCCTGATTAACATGAAATTTCTTCCTACTGAGATTAAGGTTGCAAACATAGCTCCACAGCAGCAAAGCCTGTTTATGATAGATTTCGATATAGATGTTCACATTCATATAAAATCCTTCACTTGAAGGAAAAGCATTTCCAAAGTACCAGAGCCTTAATAATGTATTTACAGAATTTCAACACCAGATGGGAAAGACTGCTTTACCCAAGCAGGAAAATTCCTGAATATCAGTATTGGTAGGGATGTCTTCTTCACAGCAACTGTAATTCTATGGGTAATTTAAAAATATATCAGCATGATGGCACTGACATTAACAGCACAATTTCCTTTCAGTGATGCACCAAGAGCAAACCAGTAGCAACACGTTTTTCTTGCACCTCCCCACACAGTTCTAACACCACTAATCCCTTTATTACTGAACAAGGTGACAGGACCATCCAAGTTTTACAAGTTTGTCAGGTTTAAAAAGCCCAAAACACCACAAACCATACACACATTATTTGAAATCACATTCCTTTGATATCCTTATGGAGACAGCTGAGTAAGAAATGCTTTCTCAATACATCTAAGCTATCTTTCTGCTACTGAAAGAAGCTTTCTGTTGCATGACTCCACTCTCCCTGAATCAACTGTTTGGATTACAGCTCAAAAATTAAATTAATGAAAGGTGTCACGGGTTTAGGCTTTTTTCCATTGATTCAGTCCTGCAAATATTAACAAAATGACAACATTGACAACCTCAGATGGAAAACTTGCTTAAATACCTCCAACTTTTAAAAAGCCAAAACCAAACACAAAATAATGAGTAACTGACCTGTGAGCCTCTGGGTCCTCTTTTGTGATCCCATTCAGAATGCCCCATGAGCTGGAAACCACAGAAAAGCAAAGGTAAGTGATAGATTGCACTCATCAGCTTTGATTAAAACATTCACACTTTCATATACATTACACAATTTCTTTGAAAAAAAAAAAAACAGGTTTGCTTTTACAGTTTATTTCTCACAGATTTTAGCTTCATAATGAGAGTGAGAAGACTTGGGAGTTGCTGCTATAACTTTGTACCTTTACATTCAGAGCCAAAACACATCTAGCATCACAACACTGCTCCTGCCAATAAAATTCCCACTGCCATAGATATGGCTTTAGGCAAATGTTTAACACTGACCTAGCAAAAGGAGAGCTAATATATCAACAAGATTACCAAAACCAGGTGACATTTGATTAATCAGCAAAGCATGTTTTATCCTAGGAATGAGTTAGTGAGAGCTTTAATTCTGTCTACCACTGAATTATTCTTGGTGTAATAAATAATTAGAGGTGCACCCTCCAACAGAAAACATGTGGGGGATCATTATATTGCAGGGGAAAGCAAAGAGAGAGTTTAGAGATGATGGGTTCTTGTGAAAATTAAGATCTGCGATGGTATACAGCTCCTCAAGTTAAAGCAAAAAATGAGAAGGCAAGAATTAACTGTAGCCCAAATTTAGCTCTCAAATCCTCTTGCAATCCTACAGTGCATTGTGTTGTAAGACATGGTCAGACACTGGATGGTACAGATGGAGTCCAGAAAAAATAATTTGTCTTCTCCCATCTTTTTTTCTACTGTACTTCATAACTGTATGTTAACATAGGCATTCACTCTCTCTCTTTAAGCAACATGCAATATGCACACATAGGCTCTTTCAATGTAAGTCATAGTGGGGGACAAAAAAAAAAAAAGGAGCAGAGAATACCCAGCAGGCTTTAATATTGCTGCTTTATGTATCCAAAGATTATGGGCAAACATGAACTGCTGACAGACTGCAGAAGAGAAGGCTGTGTGGAGACCTCATAGAAACCTTCCAGTATCTGAAGGGGGCTACAGGGATGCTGGGAATGAACTATTCATTAGGGACTGTAGTGATAGGACAAGGGGTAACGGGTTTAAACTTAAACAGGGGAAGTTTAGATTGGATATAAGGAGGAAATTCTTTACTGTAAGGGTGGTGAGCCACTGGAACGGGTTGCCCAGGAAGTTGTGAATGCTCTATCCCTGGTGGTGTTCAAGGTTAGGTTGGAAAGAGCCTTGGGTGATATGGTTTAGTGTGAGGTGTCCCTGCCCATGGCAGGGGGGGTTGGAACTAGATGATCTTGAGGTCCTTTCCAACCCTAACTATTCTATGATTCTATGACAATAAAGCTATCCTCAGCCTGGAAAGCACCAGGGAGTGCCCAGACACAACCCTGGTGAAGCCCAAGCTGTGCAGGATGCAAGGCAATGCTGCTGCTAATCCTGCCTCTGATCAGTCAGCTAGTATGTGTTCCAGCCTGGGAGCTGGTTTTTTTTTGACAGCTACTCAGGGATCTCTTCTGGGTAATGCTTTTTTTTTTTTTACTCATATGAGCATAGCTTAATGCAACTATAAAAATATGTGCATAAAAATAGGAGGATTAATGTGACATGTAATGACTTACAGTCATGAACATTTCTTTGCTCATTTTCTCCCCAACACTGGCTCCCAAAGGAAATGCCTTCTCCCAGGTCAGAGGTAGGCAGTGAGATTTACAACCTAATTATTGCAGAACATGCTTTCGAAACACTCATCCCAGGACAACAGATTATAACTACTTTGAAAAATGAGGAAAGCCACATACATCTCTCTTATTACTTAGAATTACCTACCCCATAACTGGAGACAAACCACACATGCAGATAGGCATCAAAGATCGGAAATGTCACCCTATTTTTTTACCTGATACAGCCTCACAACTGACCCCCTCATTTTACTGTTATTATTTCCTTTTTCTATTCACTGTTGGTGGAAATACTGTCTGTTCCAGGTTTCCTTGTTTGTTTCTCCATACTGTCATGTTTACTCATTGCTGTATGAAACTGAGCTTTGATGTTTATGAAAGCTGGCCTCTCAGTAAATAACTGGCATGCAAAAGCTACCAAGAGATGCATCTACCAAAGGTTATGTGCTTCACAGAACCTCTGCCAAAACCCTCATACCTGTGCTTCCTCCCTGGCTCCTGCCACTCTGGACCAAGAAAACCTCTTCAGTTTTAACTCCTCAGCCCCTATGACTTGGTGGGGAAGTGCTGCCTGCTGCTTTCTTAATTTAGTTGGCTAAAGAAAAATTAATTTAGCTTGAGTCTGACCACCTGCAATTCCCAGCATGGTAAGAGATATCTTTATCTGCAACTTCCTACCAGTGACATAAGCACAAAGAGTATGCCTGTTATTTCACAGTTAAGGAAAAAAGATTAATGTTACAGGTCTGGCTATGGTTACTGTAGTTCTCCAGGCTCTGACATTTGGTTTTGAGCATGTGGTATGTGCTGCCAAGTGTAGCATAAGATCCCACTGCCAGGTTTTTCATGCTCCCACCCTCACTGAATCCATATTTTACTGAAAAGTGATGGGATTTCTTTACTATTGTCACCAAAAATAGGAGAGTTAAGAGTCAAGCTTGGAGTTACAGTTACCACTAGAGGAGGTACACTGAATATAGGGATGCTTCCAGTCCAGCCAAGTCCCAGGAAACCAGACTGACGTGTGCCAGGGGTGGTTACTTGTGATCACCAGCAACCCTCAAGTCCAAATCAAGTTCTCTTAATGATTCATACTTCTTCAGGCACAATTTGCCCACCCTGTTCCCTGTTTCTCAGTTATTGCCTAGTGCTTCACATCAACACACAAGAGATTTTCAGCCCCCAAAGTGTTCTCCTGTGCTTCCTCAGCCACACAGCCAACCCCTGCTCTACTCCACTGCTTCTCCTCCTCTACAGTTTGCAGGTGCCTTTTGGCCCTGGTTCCCCATCTCTAGCCCTGCTCCTCTAGGAGTGGGTCAATCCTTGGATGCTCCACAGATGCAATGTTACAGCAACAACTAATGTTACAGCAAAACATAAGTCTGAAGGCTGTGACAACTCATCCTGGCTCCATTTCTCAGCATCTATCAAAATCACAGTAGAGAGGCCAAACTCATCAATGAAGCAACCAGTCATAAGCCTGTTGGAACCAACGGCGTTACCCCTTGCTTATCCTGGCACAATTTTATTAGCAAACTGCTAACTCCTAACAGCAAATTACACAACCTGCATTTCATTTTATTTCTCTACAAATGTGCCTTTGTGGAATCAGACCTGTTTCTATTTTTGCTGATAGATCCATTGCCCCTAGAGTAAAAGCATTTCAACACCATTGTTCTTTCTTTGTGTGTCACACACTATGCCTAGATGCTCTGCTGAATTAACCCCTCTGGTTATCACCTGGTAAAAGGGTGAGCACAAGGAAGCAAAGAAAGAGTTCCAGGATGGTAAGAGATCTTGTCAATTCTAGGCAGTTTTTAAGCATGGTAGGAATATTCATGACTGCAAAGCCAGCCTTTTTCTCCCATTTTTATAACCTACCAAATCTTACTTGGCTTTAAATGTATTTCTTCCTCACAGGCTAGAAAACAGTTTTTATCTCATGCCAGAATGTTTCTGGCATATCTGTAATGGTCCATAGTAACAAGGGAGTGAAGTAGGGGAAAAAAAATAAATTAAGTGTATCACACAAAAAGGCCTCAAGCTTTAAGATGAAGACGGAAAACAAAACAGGTCGATCAGTTATAACAAAATCTCTGAAAGGCCAACAGAAGCATGATTGCCTCAGTATGACACCCTTTAGCGCAATGTTGTGCTACACTACTGCTGAACCTGGGAAAGATTTTCTTTGAATGGACAAAAAGTAAATGCTGAGGAATATGCAGAAGTATGCAGAAGAGGAGGAAAGCAAGCATGTCTGACCTATTGGGCTACTGGAAGTCACAGTTTCTACAACAGAAACCAAAAGATGAAGAAAACAGCATTAAAAAAAACCCATCACAAGCCAACACAAAAAGCCCCAAACACCAACCAACCATAAACACACAGACAGTGTGCATAAATCCCCCTCAGTCCAACTCAGCCTTTTGAAATCAGAAAAAAAAAAAAAAGTTATGTCTTTTAATTGGTGCAGGCATGAGAACAGAGACTTCCATCTCTAAAAATTATGATGAACTGATCTAGTCCAGAGTGATGGTAAACAGCCTCACACCATTCAATTACTTTATCATTTTTACTGATCAAGTTGCTGAGGCTGAGCATACCAGCATCAGAGAAGGAGGGATGAAACAAAAATCAGACTCCCACAGGGCTTATATTCATGCAGTCTCCCTCAAAAGGAAAGTATCTACTCTGCATTTCATCTAAAACTGTCCTGGAAACACAGCTCTGACAGCTTTAACACTTAGAGATGAAGGCAGCTTTCAGCAACAAAAGCAACTCTTGCATGCACAAAAACATGGGCTTCACTAAAGCCAGCTGGCTCAGTCTACCCTACTAATTCACTAACAGGTCTCCATGGAAAACAGCCTCCCCCAGTACAACTGTGAGGACTGTGAATGGAAGACAAGGAAGGAATGGAGAAGACCCCAATACCAAAATCATGGTCACAGAAAGAAAAAGAGAAGTGCAACATGGCTGGCTCACTCTGAACACGTAGGGTGGTAGTCTGTGTTCTAAAACTCAAGCTTTTGCTATGAACAGTATGAAGTCTCTAGGCCTTGTGGTTGTAAAACCAAATTTGATATGTAAACCAGATGTTCACAAATGCAATGATACTGGCAAGTGAGTAAGGAATGGTACAAGGGACTGTCTGTATTAGGTATACCATGCCAAAGTAGAACAAAACCATAAAAATTATCATCTTCAGCTCTCACATCTCTAAATGCAGTTGGTCTCCTATTTGGTGACTTAATTAAAGCCCCGACATATGATTACATAACAATCTCAACTTTCATTAAAATTCATGAATCGTGAATTTAAGTCTCCTTAGTATTAGAGAACTGCAGGAAA